TTCGTCTTATACACTAGGACTTCAACACAATTATCATAATCGCATTATATGTTGCAGGCTAAACTCTTCTTCAAATTTCTTATTCTAAAATTCTTCGTTATTCTATTTTAACTTGAAAATTCTATCAAAGTTGGAACTATGTACTTAGCGTAAATTACTTTTATAGTTTGTGTATGGAATTTAAACGTTATGGCCTTTCGGATTCTTGATAATCCCGTTCGAAATGTTTGGAACGTCTGAGTCAACGCAGGGAGTTTAGTTTCTATCTATGTTTAGTACCGTATGTTTCACGGAAAGTACTCTAAGAAATTGTTAGAGATAATCCATGAATTCTTTTTACCAGCGCACTTCCAGCCACCAAAGCAAAGTTGATGCTATCTGGAATCGCTGCGTTCATCTACAGTGTATTTGCAGATATCTTTTCACCACGTACGATCCTGATCTAGAATTTACTCCTCACTGTGGTGTTCCCAGAGCGCTATAACATGTTTTTTTTCAAACGAGGCGGCTAGCGGAGAGTACTTAGTTTCAGACCGTGACTCAGCTGTGCCCTTGTCATTGTCATTGCCGACGTCCAGGAGCGGTAAACACTCACCATCAAATGGGAAGTATGCTCGTTTACCTACAAAGGGAATAAAAATAATTACATTAACAAAGTAAACACGCACTCTGGAATTTAAATAAAACAAGTAAAAGCGTTTTTGTACAAAGCAATTCTTCGATTGTATTAAGCACTTTTTTGGATTGAGCTTTTATGTAATATATTTACGCTAAGACGTAAGTACGTCTACTAAGAAAAAATCGGTAATCCTGATTATTCTACTAAGGATAACAGGCTAACTGTTTAATATATTGAATTGTCCTGGGTCCTTTATAAGTATGCTAAATTTCGAATTAGTTCGATGATTTGAAGGGTGTCACCAATGATTTTTTATACAACAGATATGTTATCTTCATAGTAACTGACTCTTCAAATCTGATCGCGCCATATATATTTACATACCTACCGATATAGTGCACACACATGTTGACAAGTAGCATTAATGAAAAGTACAAAAGATGGGATAAGCGCGTGAGTAAAAAAGATAGCTATAATTGGAACGATTGCACTTGTTATATTATTATTGCATTTGTTTAGACGCGACTAAAGACGAAAAGTCCCAATTGGCCTGTTTTCGTGTCTTTACTTGACGTGCGCTTGAAACATATCTGCTTCTTTTTACATATAAAATATCATTGGGTGTCACATATTATGTTCGTTACATATGTACCTACTAACACACGTATGAAGCTAATAAAAGAGTTTTAAAAATAAGTATTGTTAAGTATAAAATTTCTTAGTTCAATAAATGTAAGCCGTGAAACGAATACATTAGAAAAATACGACATCAATTCAGGTTACGTGATCCAGGAACCAGGACTTTGATATAGTTCTAGTTTAAAAAATACATTATCATCCAAAGTAAATATGTGGCGATGATATGAAGCCGCTCGTATATCTACCACCAACAATGAAAGCTTACAATTTGGTTGGATTCTTATGCCAGTCGTAAGTTTTAATAGCATTATTTTTGATCTTTTTTTAATTTATTTTTTGTATTGGATAGTCGGCAGTGCTCACGGTGCTTACTTGGTGCAGCCTGTAAACTGAAAGGCTCACGGTAGAAATAAGTAGGATGGTGGTACGGCAAACGCATTTTGGTTTGAACGATGGGGTAATCGGTATGTTATTAAAACATCCACCTTGTATGTCAGGGTGGATGGCGGTAATCACTTTGTAATGTGTAAAGAATACTGCTGTATTCTTACCTCTTAAAATCATATGGGCCCCGAGCACTTCTGCCTATCTACAGTAAAATAAAGTCAGGTTCACTTTTAAAAGATTTTTAAAATAATTAAACACATTGTCACGATTATTTCTCTCCTGAAATGAGTTAAATTTAATTAGGATCAAAAATAAAGTTCGTAATTGGACATTATTAGCATAGAAACTTTACAACTTAAACGGCACTCATCTTTCTGTTTGTACTAGTTGAAATCAGTCTTAGGCTTAAGCCGAATACCAGCCTTCGTTCGTATAAAAGTTTTTTATGGATCTCTCGGAAATTTAAATTAAGTTGTACTTTACAATTTAAAACAGTTTTATTGACTAGGTTCGGTTTTCTATGGAATAATTTATCATGTTTATTTTATACTATTATATTGAATACCTACTTTTCTTACATAAAAACTGACAGTAAAACTATTTTTAAATAGTAAAAGGCTTCGTACAACTTAATTCGATTTTATACATATATTTCTTCTCTCAATTCAACTGTAAGCCTGAAATTCAAATTACGAATTAGTTCACTTCTACCATTTTATTATCAAAATTAATATTTGGTTATTTTTAGTTCCTCATAAAACAAAATGGCATCATATACGTAACTAGCACTGCCAAAAATAAAACTGAAACTCAATAAAGCGTGATATTTACCGAAAACGAATGTTATTGTCTACTGTTACAACGGTATCTTTAGGATCGCTACCAAGATCAGTTCCAAGAAGATTATTTCTGCAATTCATGGAAATGTAATAGCAGAAATGACGCTCGTCTTTGTTTTGGACAAGTTTTCAGATAAAATAACTATTTCACTTCAGCTCGATTTGATGAAAATCATTGTAGATCAATATTCTACAAAGTAGATCAGCACTTCGGCTTGGCTAACCATTTCAAGAGTGTTTTGGAAAAGTTTAAAAACCCACAAAGGATATTACAGTAAAACAAAGTTTGATATGTGAACAATGTTTCATATTTTTCCTTCGGTCCAAGCATTTTGATTGGAGCAGGGGTATAACTTTAAAAATATATAAATAAAAACTCGGCTTAATTTCCTCTTTAGTTTATTCGTGTTTCGAATTCTGTCCCTTCGAAAAATAACAATTTTTGTTCCAACGGGCGAGAAATCGTCTAGATAACACTTTTGGAGCGTTTTTAAACAATCATACAACTTACACAAATATTTCGATACTATCGTGATCAACATCAATTTTAAACAGCTTAATATTTATTATTTTTGAAACGAATTCTACGAACGACAAAAGTTGATAGACTAGTTCTAAAGTACATAGAAATTTATGCTACATAAGAAACAAAACAAATTGAATTTACTATCCGTTATGTTTGTAATAAATGTTAGTGTGTCACTGGCCGTCTTGAATATCACTTGTCCCCATACGCACTAACATTTATTACAAACATAACATAATCTATCTATTTATTACAAACAGAACATAATATAATCTAATATTAATAACTAATTTATTAGATCTTTTCATAGCAAACTTGAACCGCATAAATTACGACTAGAATCCAATATGTCTGAACATTACTAGGCTGTATAAATACTAAACCTTAGCTGGTAGAAAGAACAAGTATAATTCAATATAGATCACTATCGGAGAATCGGGAGATAAAACATTTCCACTAAGTAAAGTTAGTAACCGGCCCAAAATTGTTCTGCAACTTTATCTAAGGTTTCGGACAAAAAAAATCAGATAAATTCTATATATGCTGACTATATAAGGGTAAAAGCAAAAAAAAAACTACCAATTTACAAGACAATAAGAGCGGGAATACTTTCGGAAAAATTAATATGGTAGGGAAAAGGATTTTTATGTCAAGATTGTTGAATCTACAACCTAATGACTGATTTATGTTTTTATAACATTTAATTGATTATTTCATAAGTTAGGCTTGATAATCAGCATTGGGAAATTTGTAATCTTCTTAATATTGTTTTATGTAAGAAGAATATAATAAGAAAAAGGTAAAATAAATAATAATAGCCGTGAGCTTTTTCACCCATCAAAGCAATAAAAATAAGGATGTGTGGTACTGTGGGATACCGGATAGGAACGAAGCTCCTTATTATAAAAATATTAATTTTAAGTTCTATTCGAGGTATAAAGAAAATAAAACTGGAGGTTTCGTAACAACCCACGGTCATTCGGTAGCGTGTGAACTTATTGTGGTACACTTCATTCACGGTTGTTTGCATAAGAGTTAGTGTACTGCGCAAACGAACGTTCTGAGATCATGGTCAATGAATGATAAACAAATGTGTTATTTTTTGTACGTTATTACAACGTTAAGTCGTACACTGTGTGCATTACTAATAAAAATCTTACGTTACGGACGTCTATTCCCGGTTAGGGTACCCCTCCGCATCGTCCCATAAGGAACTTCGTTCCAAAATTCGTGTACTACTGCTGATTGATCTATTTATACGTATCATAGCACTAATAATAAATAAGAAATACATAAATCATATGACTAGAAATATTTTGTTTTGCTTTACATATTTAAACAAACTTTTTTTTCCTGCAAATTTGCCTCCGAAGTATTCTGTAAGCTTACTATAACATTTATAATACACGACTAGTGATTGATAAAAATGCACCGCTTAGTGGGAATACATGAAATAACTTTTTAAATTGATGTACACACATACATATTTGTGTATTATTTTTTATTATAATTTTTTTACTGGTGGTAGGACCTCTTGTGAGTCCGCGCGGGTGGGTACCACCGCCCTGCCTATTTCTGCCGCGAAGCAGTAATGCGTTTCGGTTTGAAGGGGGGGGCAGCCGTTGTAACTATACACTGAGACCTTAGAACTTATATCTCAAAGTGGGTGGCGCATTTACGTTGTGGATGTCTATGGGCTCCAGTAACCACTTAACACCAGGTGGGCTGTGAGCTCGTCCACCCATCTAAGCAATAAAAAAAATAATTGATCTAAATTTTTGTAATTCACTTTAACAATATATTTTCACGCCTATTATACATATTTTTATATGGCCGCCAACGGAATGGGGCTCTAACGGTCAATGACGATATCATGCGTCACAGCTTACCATTTGCATCTCTAAAAAATTGCTCCCATCTTTTCCGCATTCATCCCTTTTAAAACCACCAGCTGCTTCTGACAAATCATGGATTTCCTCAATGCTTAAAATTAAAATATTGGAGGGTAAATTAAGTAACTTAAGGCGGTGAAAAGTGGTATAGAAAATGACGGCGCTGAGGCAGCACAGCGTGCTCTGGGTTGGTAATTACAGGCCGCTACGTCCTGGGCTAAGACCCACGCCATCCGTCTAAGTAAGGTGCTTCCTCCTGTAGAGCAAACACGGGCCGCGTCTGCTACGCACATCACGAATGCGTCGCGAGCACTGCAAAGAAATATTTAAATCGAAAATTACACCAATTACTACAATTATTTATTTCCTTTTTTTGTGTTCTCAAACAATAAGTATCCTTGAATTTATATGCGTGTGTTTTCCAAGGGTTATCAATCAGTTCTAATAGGGAATTCGTGTTTGTAAGTAAACCACTCCAACCACAAAAAGCGGAGAATCTCAAAGACGATGTAACGACTACAACAAGGATTAGAACCTATCATTTGATCTAAGTTGGTACGCTATCTACTCGGATCGCAGTTAAATATAGACTAATTAAATAAGTCGTAACACGCACGACAGAACTTAATTCGTGAGAACTCAGTGTGTGTTTGAGTGTGTTTCAGTCAGCTAAAATCACGTGTATATTAGCATTGGTTTAAGCCGACTAGTTAAAATGAACTGGTTAATACGAGTATACGGTTTTAAAAAAAATTATATACAAAAATTATAAGAAAATGTTTATTAATCGATGAATAAGTAAATCAATGGATTTATTCATAACTTTTGTTTACAAAACAGAGTTGATTCTCTGCAATGCTCTTTAATATGCTTCTGGGCAACGACAATATCCCGATGTCGAGAACAAATACTCGGAAGGCACAAAAGATGTTGGAACTTACTTAATAAAATTGAATCTCCTTGTTAAATGAAGTCCCTTTCATCGACTATCTAGCAATATTAAAATACGATTTGTTTGTAATGTATCTTAACGATAATTGTATTCGATTTAAATCAAGAGAATGGCTAATTCAACAAATACATGAACACTCCATCCGCGCCTGTAGTCAGCAGAAACAGCTTCTTTTGTCTTTGCAATAAAGGTGAAATTTATGAAGATTTCATTTTTTGTCGTATTCATTGGTCGAAATAAGTTGAACAAATTTTTTATTGCTTATCTTGTTCTGACGTATTTAACTGAACGAACAGCCCAAGGACACTTTTGTTGAGTAATTTCCAGGCTGTCATCGAATATTTGAAACAATTAATAAATTTCTTTATGCATGAAACTCCTAAGGAATTAGATTTTTAAGCTATCTGTATGGAGTCAAATGGATGAAGCTGGTATTTGGGAGCCCCGGCCCAGAGATGGGAGCAGTACTCCACGCGAGGCCGTACTTGTGCTTTGTAAAGCAAAAGCCTTTATCCAGGCGTGAGGTACCGCTTCGCTCTGTTGAGGACTCCCACCTGATGTTAAGTGGTTACTGGAGCCCAGATACATTTACAACTTCTTTATTTGTTTGTTTTATTGCATAGATGGGTGAACGAGCTCAAGGCCCACCTGATGTTAAGTGGTTACTGGAGCCCAGATACATTTACAACTTCTTTTTTTTAGATAGATTTTATCGCGGGCCTTGAGCGCGGCGACCGAATCATGAAATTCCGAAACGAAAAAACCTTACACCCCTCACTCCGCCTACCATGTAGCTCGCGTTCAACACATTCACACGTTGCGCTTGTGTAGTGTTTGTGAATAAGCGCGTGGCGTGACGTCACACTGCATGCGCATCATGAAAAGTCTGCCCATCTCTCTCTCGCGCGCTCTAGCTTATGAGTGTGAAGGGGACAGTTGAGACAGTGATAAAAATACTATGCAAAGCTTTACCGCGGCAGTTCCCGAGTGCCACACGTTTTTTTTTAACGTTACAACGTAACCTTACAATTTTTAACGTTATCTACTTTTTTTTTTATATTACATGTTGCGGCTTGTTATACTCATTGTGGGACACCGTGTGTATTAGTATCCATAAATGCTCATGAAACATTTAAGCATTTAAGTACATTAATAGGCAATCCAAGTGATTTCCAATAAATTTAGAACTTTTCACGATAGTAGTATGAAATTTATGATCGGTAAACACAAATAAAAAAAAGGTGATAATAGTAGAATTTATATAAAAAGGGGAAATGGAAAGTCTAAATGCTAACAGCTTCTATAGGAAACATACTATGCATGTATATAGAAATTGTTCCTAGTGTTAAAAAAAACGCATTGAAGTTAGAAGCACTTATTGGAAAGTATTTGATTCCGGTTGACAAAATATCTAGGAAATACAATGACTGAATTCCCTTTCTTGTGGCTGACAAAGGCAAAGTATACGGCTTATATTAAACTAGCTTTTGCCCGCGACTCCGTCCGCGTGGAATAGTTACTTTGGCAGAACACAAAATTTTACCCCCACTTCATTTACGTAGAAAGTGAAAATATATTTGAATTATATAATGTTAAGGAGCTATTTAAGCCCCTATTTTGAAACATTCGTTATTGGTGTTCCACTTGTATTGGCCTTACCGTGATGTTATATAGTCCTCCTCAATAAATGGGCTATCTAACACTGAAACAATTTTTCAAATCGGACCAGTAGTTCCTGAGATTAGCGCGTTCAAACAAACAAACTCTTCAGCTTTATAATAATATTAGTATAGATAATGTTTTTTATACAATAATATATTGTATTTAGAAATGCAGATGTTATTATTCAGATGTAAGTCAATAGAAAGATTCAAAAGTACCAGCACAGTTCACCATTACTGTAGAAGTACGTGAGTTGTTTTGACCGGTTGGTGATCTCACGAACATCCTCTTGCAGCTCGTTAACACACCTCGACCAGTTCGGTGAAACTACGTTCCAGCATTTGTGTTCTTGTAAGAAATCTAAAAAAAAAAAGAGTCGTCACGGGACGCCTGGCAGATGTGAAACGTCGACATTATTTTGTAAAAGTAATATGCAAAAAAGAACAGATTGTGATAGGAACTAAATATGTCATAATGATAAAATAAAATATTACGAAAAAATAATTTGTTTTCAAGTAAAACACAGGTTATGTGTACTGTAGTAAACAGCACTGTATACAGCACTACGGTGTATACACTATAGGTATCCGAGCTCAGTGTAGCGAGAGAGATGGCTAACGCCGGATCGAGTGGGAGAGAATCGCACAGTCGATTGCGCATGGCGACGCGTCGCCACGGCATGCGTCGCCACGTCAGAAATCGGTTTTACGTGCGGCTATAGATGTTTCACATCAAAATTAGCTTAATAATACAATTCATTAAATAAATTAGTTAACAATTGATCAAATGAAATATGTTTGTCGATTGACTCATTATTCCTTTAAGTTTTCAGAAAATAAAGGAGATTATTATTTGTATAAGTCAGAATAATTAGTTTGTATCTGAATAGGCAATTATAAGAATGAAAGACTTAACAAATCATTATATAAATGTATATAATACATTAATGACAATATTGCTCTTATTTATTAACTATTACAAATTTAAAAATATCTTTTTTAATTGTGATTTTTTCGAAATTTAGTTATGATCTTTACTTTGTAAACTAATATAGGTTTTTTTTTAAATACGTCCCATTCGGTTTTGGTACAATTGAAATGCGAAATTAAATTAAATAATTTTGGAACAGAATCCATTCAGCCTTATAAAATTTACAGGTTGAAATATACGTAGATGAAAATTAACACATCACGAGGGTTCTAATAATTTACGTACAACGATTTGTTAAATGAAACTATTGGATTATCACAAACCTCTTCGTAGAGCAGTTTCATTGGTGCAGAGGAACCTCATGAGCGCGCGTGCTCCTCCGATTTGCTGCTGTAGTATCTTTTGTCCGTCAGTGGGCAGGCACTTTCTAATCCAAGCATCCATACATCGCATTCCAATGTGGTAGGCCCTAGTAGTGGTAAATAATAAAAATTATCTTTCACTGCCACAACTAATTAAACAGCGTATTATTGTTACAAGACTACTACACTATAGACAAATCTATATATTAATACGTGAAGCAAAAACTTTGTATCCCTTTTTACAAAAATTGCGCGGACGGAGGAGTATGAAATTTTCCACACTTATAGAGAATATAGAGAAGAAGTGCAAAATGCCAATATTTTTTTAAATAATGCATAAAAGAAACATTAAATCAATAAAGAAAACATTACACACACTACCATGTATTTGACACACACACATATACTATTTGTTTATTGTCAAACTTTTGTTATTGCTTAAAGTCTGTAGTCAAATTGAGAATAGGTTAGTATTGTTTATCTTTAATATTACGAGTATTTGTCTATAGTGTAGTCTTGGCGAAATCTGTAACAATAGGACCATAATAATGTTGAAACTTATAATTTCAATTAATTATAGTTGAATTTCGACTACTGCGGGACCACTAGTAATATTAAATACATACAAACTATATTAATCTATTCTCAATTTGACCACAGACTTAAAACAATAACATAAGTTTGACAGTAAACGAAGCGTGTATTGAGTATGTGTTGTGTCAAATATACGGAGGTGTGTGTAATGTTTTTTTTTATTGATTTGATGTATTTTTTATGCATAATTCGTCTTCTTCCTCCGTGCAATTTTCGTAAAAACGGTTACAGGGTTTTTGCTTCACGTATTAATATAAAGATGACAATCGATTCGTTCTCGCAAGCTTCAGTTCTTTAATTGAACCTAAAAAGTTTGAGTAGACTGAGAAAATACTATATATCCCTAAACGGTGTTATGTACTTACCACTTGTTCAATGAATGCGCAAAATGTGTAAATTTTAGTAATTGCGGATTGTAATCGTTGTAATCCACTGTAACCCCGCAAGGGTAAGTACCGCCATCTTCCCTATTTCTTATCTGAAGTAAACGCTTCCCGGTCAGAAGATTCAAGCAGATATTATACAGCACAATTGACCCCATATCTCAAGCTGAGAGACTGGATTAATTTCTATGGGCAGTAGTAAAAACTTAACACATTCTGGGCATTCAAAAAATTCTGATCCTCTCTCCTGATTGCATGCATTAAAATGATTCTGATCCTCTAAGGCACAGAATAGATAAATAATATCTCTAAAGTGTCCCTACCTCTTATCTTTATAAAAAGGAAAAAATACATAACAGCGGACTTTTTTGGATACACACGACAAAGTTTTGAAACTAAGGTGGTAGTGTCAGTAACTTTGTTCTTAATAATTAATGTTCGAAACTCCTTCGAGTTATTGAAAAAGTATGCTGCCCAAGAAACTTACGTTGTTTTTTCACAACATGCTCTGCAGAGAAGTGGAAAAGTGAAAAAGTGAAACAGAATAGAGATAAACGACTAAATACGGTGCTCGTAAATATTTAACAACAAACTTGAAAAAAGCATCGAGCTGAAATTATAAATTTAAAAAATTCACGTTTTAGCGTAAATTTTGCCTTAAATGTAAAATTAAGAATAACATAGACCGTCTACAACATAGAATTTGGTGAAAATCTGAATAGGTTGATAATTATCAGAGAAAAAATATCTCCGAAAAGAAAAATTCAATTTCAAAGTAAACACACGAATTTTATAAATTCAAAACATGTGAATTGACAGCTCACGTAATCATGAATACAAAACTCAGATTCGTCCTAGAATATGACCTTTTAGTAATAACTACAGATAGCCCGGAGCGGAGGTCCCCTTTTGTCCTCCGAGTGGAAATGGACTCGTGGAAACTTTAAATGTCAATTAATTAGAAACCCGCTAATGCGTGTGTGTACGAACTCTTTGGAATGTTTGTCATTTCATACATTGTTCGCAATAGAATTAAAATGAGACATCAAAGAAACCTATCGGTCAACGAATAGCAGAGAGAAGCAGCATCGCATGCACACACACACGTCGATTACAAACGGGAGTTCAGCAACACACTAAGCAAAATAACTTTACGAACATAACAGAATTGAATGACCGTTGGTGATACCTAGACTATTCGCTAACGGATATAGAATCAAGGCTTAGTGAATCCAGTTCACGCGTTGAGAGACTCCGTGTAGCAGTCCCAGGTGCATATTTACTTATTCTTTGAATCTAGTGAATCTAATGAAGTCGTCGTGGCCCAAAGGATAAGACGTCCGGTGCATTCGTATGGAGCGATGCAACGGTGTTCGAACCGATCGATCGATCGGGTACCAATTTTTCTAATGAAATACGTACTTAAAAAGTGTTCACGATTGACTTCCACGGTGAAGGAATAACACCGTGTAATAAAAATCAAAACCCGCAAAATTATAATTTGTGTAATTACTGGTGGTAGGACCTCCTGTAAGTCCGCACGGGTAGGTATCACCACCCCGCCTATTTCTACCGTGAAGCAGTAATGCGTTTCGGTTTGAAGGGTGGGGTAGCCGTTGTAACTATACTGAGACCTTAGAACTTATATCTCAAGGTGGGTGGCGCATTTACGTCGTAGATGTCTATGGGCTCCAGTAACCACTTAACACCAGGTGGGCTGTAAGCTCGTCTACCCACCTAAACAATAAAAAATAAAAAAATCTAGACGTACATCGAGGACCTAGGATATCCTGCTGGGCATGCTCCGTATCCTTCCTCGATTAGAGATCGATTGGTGTGTCCAGACTCCAATGTATTATTATGTAGAATCAAACTAAGCGGCCAACCGATTTATTTTATCGGGACGGAACGAATTAATCACATATATTACATTAAGTACATGGGTAATTATGTAATGTTATAATTGCATACTAAAGCTAAGTGAACAATTCATAGTTTTTAGTTTCTCCAAAATGGAAAGAGTTTTATTGTTTGCAAATACAGTGTTAATATTTCATCAGTTGAGAACATTTCAAAAACGCATAAGCTAAATTACAATAATTTCTCTAGTTTGAAATTTTCCATCAAGCTTTCGGAAATGTTTACATAACATTGATTAAGCTTTGTTTATTGTTACTTTTACTACTATTCATATTTAATACAGATTTCCAATAACTTAAATAAAAATCATATTTTTTTAAATAAAAGCATATTATGTGGGTATTTATTATTTAGTGTTTTCTTTCATTATTTAAGAATTTGCGTAAATGTTTAATCTATATTTGATAGATCGTTTTTAGAATTAAGACCGCCTATTGTACGATTATACCGTTTTTTCTTGGAGCGGGAGGATCTTTTTCCGAAGTACCCACGAGCGGGCATCCAGGCAAGTCCAGTCGATCTGCAGAAATGGGGAGCGGATCGTGTGCCCAAGGATAGTATTTAGGGATGTACCCACTAAATAATTCCTCTGCATTCTTACTCAAGCGTCCGATCTTCCCCGAGGTCAGTACCCGGCTGAGGTAAAGGGGTTACCGAGGCTGCCACCTATAGGGGCTGGGACGTACGTTCGTACTGTCTCCCCCAGTCCCCAGATCGACGGCCACGGATTGATACGGAGAGGAAAGAACTCTTCCTCTCTCGTTCCACCGCCTTCTTCTACAAGATGATGGACTCGCAGAAGTCAAACATCGCCTTTCTGCAATCTCCTGTCATCGCTAGGCCCCAGATGTGTCGTGAGTTAATTAATGCTCCTATCTACAGCAAAAGCAATAATAATAATATATATTTTATATATATCAACGGCCGTCTGGTGTAGTGGTAAGTGACATGGTCACTACACAAGGGGGTCGCGGGTTCGAATCCCGCCAAGGGAAGATATTTGTATAATAAATATAAATGTCTTTTCCAGGGTTATGGATGTATATTAAATATATGTATGTGTATAATAAAAATTTTACATTTATATCCGTTATCTAGTACCTGTAACACAAGTTCTTTACGAACTTATCACGGGACCAGTTAACGTGGCGTGATTGTTAGTAAATATTTATTTATTTATTTATTATTATCTTTATAAACTTAATAATTTTTCATAGAAGCTCACTTGCAATGTGCGTCTAGTTCGTTTTTGTTTCTGGGTAATCCGACAGGCGTCTTGGGAATCAGTTCTATACAAACGTTAAGGTCGGCAGAATCACAGCTGTCAGTTTCCAGCTGCGTGCCTCCGCTACCTGTAACAATACAACATAAATATTCAGTGGAGCTTTTTTCATACTTTTCTACTATGTTTACAAATTTTGTACTATGTTTCTGTCTAGTTATACTTTAGTTATATGCAGATTTAGTTAATCTGATTTAAATTAAAATTTTTCGTTAGTATTCATGGCAATAGACAATTCGAATGTTAATCGCAAAATATAGGTGTAGTATCAAAGTTATTTCCAGTTACTTGTGCTATTTTCCTGCCTGATATAGTAGTACTGCCATCTGGAGTAAGTATATCTCATCTACTTTCTCATTGGAATCCTTATTGTTAAACACCGTATGGATTTGTGGATTGGTGGATATGTTGAAAGTTTGCACGGATGAACGTAATCATATTGCTTTTTCCCGTCACGAATAATGGATTAATATCCAATCGAACCGATATTTGAAGGGTAGAATGGCCGATATAACAAAGTCATTCAGATATTTTTATTAATGCATGCATTCATGTTGTAACTTCTGTACATAAGGTTAATCGAGCAGAAATTGAATGTCTTTATTAGATAGTAAAAGAAAATGTGTTCCTTAGAAATTCTGCAACAACAAAATGCGATCAAATGCAAAGATCGATAAACTTATATAATACGTATAATGTATTTTTAAGATGGAATCAAAAATTAAAAGTATTTTTTAATATTTCACTTCCTACAATATTAAAATGAGTGTTTGTTAGGAGAACAAGGAAATAACATCAAATCAATCATACTGAAACAGTCAAGAAACCAAAACAATCTCTCGTTTGTTTTCCACGAAACTTCTCGCTTGTTCTTTGTTTTAAAAACCGAGTCGAATTAAAGTTCTTGTTATATGCATAATCTAATTAATGTGCATAATATGTACGAGTAGTTGGTAGCTGTCATAGAACCTGAATAGATGCCTGAATCTCAAGTTCGGAACAGCACCATCTGGTACCATAACGTAACGATGAACTTTGGCATGCTGACATGCAAAACATTTAACGAGAAGAACTTCGGCAATCTTGACGCACGTGAGGACAAACCAAATGCTCGGGAACACTCGGTTATAGTTGCATTATCGCCTAGATGGCTGTCTGTGCTGACTTTCAACTACACCTCCGCAATGGATTTGTAATGGGTAAAGGGTTTCGGTGAGTGGGTGCTGATGCAGGTCGTTCGGAAACTGAAAGATGTAGTCAAGATGACGGAATCAACAAGGTTTTTTTGCGTTCGCTAAAAGTGAAACTCAGCGGCTTGTGTTTGATGAATACAATGAATTGTCTCACCTCTAATATTGAGGGAAGTAGTTTATATCTCTGCGCGGGTAGGTACCACCACCCTGCTTATTTCTGCCGTGAAGCAGTAATGCGTTTCGGTTTGAAGGGTGGGGCAGCCGTTGTAACAATACTTGAGACCTTAGAACTTATATCTCAAGGTGGGTGGCGCATTTACATTGTAGATGTCTATGGGCTCCAGTAACCACTTAACACCGGGTGGGCTGTGAGCTCGTCCACCCATCTAAGCAATAAAATAAAAAAAATTGTTATGTGTCCAGTAGCTCCTGGTCATAAAGTGAATACTTTTACTGAGATGGGCTCATCTTCTGTGAGACAAACGCGAGTGGGTGCCATAAATTATTCTTATTTTGCTGTAGTACTGCACCCATCGCAGTACCGGACGCATTTGTTACCAGGGCGAGTTCGATCTCATTAACTGGAAGCGCGATTAATGCAGCATTTGCGAGGCTCCCCTTGTAGTTATTGGTTACGCTGCCGCGCTGCTTGGCTTACGCCATAGCTTTGTGTGGACATTTATTGCCGCTAATGTTACTAAGCCTATTAGGCGTAGATTTTCTCATTTCAATTTAGTATTGCCAACCAAAACTTGATTAACACTGTAACCCCTTAATCAACCACTGTATTAATTGCCGCTAATAGGTTTTTTTTCTGTTAAGCTATATAAACCGATATTTTGAAACATTCTTTATTGGTGCTCCACTTGATATTGATCTTACCGTGATGTTATATAGCCTTCCTCAATAAATGGGCTATCTAACACTGAAATAATTTTTCAAATCGGACCAGTAGCTCCTGAGATTAGCGCGTTCAAACAAACAAAATCTTCCGCTTTATAATATTAGTATAGATGTAAATTATTTTACGATTTAAATATTCGTTGTCTAGTAGTATTACGAGTATTATTAATTAATGCTTTGTCGTACATATCACTTTAACAAAAAAGGTATAATTAAAATAGTGTTTAAAAAGGGCTTTTTCTTCTCAGTCGCATGCACTCTTGGCAGAGTGGTCGTGGTCATTACTTCTGGTGGTGGTGGTGCGCTTCACCAGACGTCGCCATTCCTCGCGTACCACGGCTTTCTTGTGCACTGCAAAAATAGCTTAACGAAGACATGATATTATGTATTTCTACTAGTATGGTATTGGTGCAATAATAGGATTTTTTGGGTTTTGGAGTTATTTAATAATCGGGTATAGCATATTAGGTACAACATACTGATTTACGAGTATTCAAAAAAGATTGTTGCTTTAAACCTGCCAATATCATTATGCAGATGCTTCAACAATAGCTTTTTCCTTTATATAAATGGATGGATACTGTTTTCCAGTGAAACACAGCAGAGTAAATGGAAGAGTAAAGCTTAAAAACACAGCCGGCAGGCAGTTATGTAGGCAGTAAATGTCAAATAGTTTAGCTCTTCAAACCTAATTGCAACTAAACCTAATGTAAACTAATTACAGCTTTGAAAGTACCAGAATAGTCGTAAAAGTAACTCGGTTTACCAAACTCTCCTAAATGACATTAGTTTCTCTAATACTATCTGTAAATGAAACTTGGATATGTGGAGAAAGTCTGCTCATCTTGGGTGTTATAAGTGTTTTAATAAACATACCCTCCTGTTGATTACAATCATTGCTAGTATTATTAATTTCTGAGACTAAATTAATATTGTTAAAAAAAAAATTACTTTATGATATTTTTTTTTTGGTCAGGACGAAATCGCCGCACTTCCGCCCTCCACTGGGGATGGAGAGCGGAGCATGTCAGAGTCGAACTGACTAAAACCTCCTGTCGCTCAACCACCAACGTCCAAACCTCGCATAAGACAGAACTCATGAAAAGGCAAAGGGGGGAAAGTGAAGCGTTTAGTGCCGAGCACATCTCTCCCATCACTCTCCCCCTCGGGACGCCGGACTGGCGGTCGTCGGCCCCACGACCACCAGCCCTCTCGGTCGGCAGGCTATCCGAAGCCCGCCTAGATGGCGCCGGTTAGAGTGAGCTTATTCACAAAATACGTTTTAAAATATAAAACAAAACATACCTATAACTAACATTACAAGTCCAGAGTAAAATGATTTTCTTTCTTCCTAATATTTAGGCTACGATTACTTTCATAACAGAAATAGGCAGGGTGGTGGAGTGTTACCTACCCGTGCGAGCTCACAAGATACCCGAGCGATAATCACCAGGAAGTAAACATATTTGATACTGGTCGTAAGAATTGTGTGTGCACACTGAGTACGTGTTTCTCCACTAAATAGGCACTGTCCCTGTGACTTTGCTTTCATTAAGCTCTCATTGACACGTGATGAATAAAATGTATCTTCTTAGTCGAAGTTACGTAAATGCTACAAAGATTTATATTCGTAAACCAAGTTCAACATACGAAAAATATTGTAAAGTTCTAATTAATGTAAAAAATATTGAAAAATCGCAACAAAATATGATCTCTCTCGGAAGTCAGTGTGCTTAGTGCGAGTTTTTTAAAGTTCTCTATGAAGTTGGAACGTTTGCCTATGTTTGCCGTTAGAACGCTGTTTCAATTGCAAACAAATTTGAGTTAACTTTTACGCTATCGAGAACGTTAAAAAGCTTGTACTAAGCACACTAAGGTTAAACGAGAACGCAGCAAACACGGTAATGGTACCGGCCGGCCTAATGAAGCTGGTTATCGGAAATAAAAAAGGGCATGTGATGTCAGCTGATTGAAATATACAGATAAACACTCCGCCGATGTAGCTAGTCCACTCCGACTGTGGCGGAATATCGAACAGCTTCTTTTGTCTTTGCATTAATGGTGAAATTTTAATAGCATTCGCCATAATAAGTTTTTAAATTTACAGAAGCTTGTAACACTGTTGTATTTTTGTCTTATCCATTGCTAGAAAGAAATGAGTCGAACGAATATGTTATTGTTTGTTGTCTATCTTGTTCTGATGCGTTTTACTGATTAGTGCTTTTGTTCCATAAATTCAGGACTGACATCGAAACGTGTGCGTGCAGTGGGTATAAAACAACGGGTAGCTAAGTTTCGTCATTTTTTTTTTGTTAACACAATATTTATTTATAATATTTATAATTTCACAAACAATTAATCTCAGCTATATTAAACAGAAGGGGTACAATATACCTACAAAAACAAGCACAGTAGAAATAAAAAATGTCCGAGCACACGAAGTTGTGGGACAAAAGGATAAGCTGGCGTTATGTATTGTATAGGTAGGCTCTGACTCTTAAATATTATGTGTATTATCTATGTCTCTGACTAATGTCAGTGCGGTACACTGGACGCTATGCATGGGTCACGAGGTATCGACCTGGCGTCATAGCAAACTGGTTTTCAGTCATTTCGGATCATCCTCGGTACCTCACGCATCGGTTACCGTTCTCGCAAGCGATGAGTTCGACGAGTAAATTATCCCACAGTAAAAGAAAATTCATGACAAACTCAAGGAAAATAGACGTTATGGTAGATGGCAACAAGATCGAACATGTCAAAGAATATATTTACTTAGGCCAGATTATATCCCCTTCAGATGAAATGACAAAGGAAATAATCAGGCGAATAGCCCAAGGATGGAGAAAATACTGGTCACTGAAGGAAATAGTGAAAAGTAAGGATTTAGGCAATCACATAAAACAGAACTTATGGCTGCGAAACTTGGTTATTGACACTTAACCACAGGGAAATGCTTATAAAATGCCAACGT